GGTAGGAGTTTATATTTTAGATTTTTATAAATATGTGTTTCTGTAAGTGTATTATTAATGGAGATTTTGAGAGGTTTATTAAAAGAGTTATTTTTTAAATGTTGGATAAAAGATAGTAGTGTTTGTTTAGGTGGTAAAGTTGGAAGATTATGATTGATAAGAAAGATATTATAGCAGGGAAGTTTCTTGGAGTTAGATGAAGAGTTGGAATCCAAGGAGTAAGAAGATGTTTCTGCAAGGTCGCTCACCATTTTAAGCTCGGCTCGCACAGCTGCGAAAGATACTGTAGTCTTCCCAGTATGTTGGGCCTGACCGTCATTAACCCAGTCTTCCGCGTACTTTTTGTTATCTAATTTCAATAGATTTATATAACTACAAAGATTTATCTAGTGTTTGTACCCCAATTACTAGTTTGCATTCCTTCATGTAATTACAAATCTTGTCCCAAAGAACAATGTCATATGATTTGCATGAATGTCCCATAACCTGCCAGTCATACTGGTGTAATTATCATTACAGGTATTCTAATTCAATCGTTAGTAATAGTTGCTATAATACAAATATTACATAGGTGATTATCCAAATTTTCATCATCTATAGAATTTGAACACCCAACCTACCACTTGGAGGGTTGACAACCTGACTACTTTACTAGATCACTACACTTTATAAGAATTTTTATATTATTTTAATATTTAAATAATAAATAATAATTAATATTTTATTAGATATTACTTATATATAAGTTTATACTAATGGGTTATTAGCTGAAATATATTATCGAATTTTTACATGTTTATAAAATTATATTAAAACTTTAACTAATAAATTTTTAGCATTTTTTATATTCATAATAAAGAATGGAGATGCATACTTGGAAATTTAGACTAAGGCCAAGCAAAAGGGTTAGGATTAGCATTAGCAGATATTGAGCTAAAATATATTTGGAACAAACATTAACTTATATATTTAAGAGTTGTTAAATACATTTTTGTAAGTAAAGTCTAGTTTATTATTATAATATCTAAAAATATTATATTTAAATTAATTTATTAGAAGCATTTATAATTGTCAACATGATGATAATATAAAGTAATTAATGAAAGAAATTTCTGATGCTATTACAAAAACATGTATTGAAGAAATATTTAAAATACTTAAACAAATTAATAATAATAAACTTGAAGGTAATATTTATAATTAAAAATTTATAATAATTAATAATTACTGTAATTTATTTATTAAATTATTTAAATTTAGGATGAATTAAATTTTCTTAACTGATTAGATTATTGCATCTTTAAATTATACTTTTTCAAATATTTCTATTGATATTTGGTATTCTGTTCTATATAATACTAATATATTTAAAAGTAGTCATGCAAGAGTAAATTGATATGCACCAAATTTATGTCTTTATATAGCAATTCAAAAGTAATTATTTATTTATTTATAAATTTATATTTTATTTAAAGACCTGCTAATGCCACCTCCTACTTTTGCTAATGCCACCTCCACGTGATCAGACCTGACCTCCAGCCAATATGGACCACTATGACATTGTTTATATCATGTGACCAATTTTGTTCAGCTTCGACATTACATCATATAGGTTGTACAAACTAAATATGTTCATGCAACTTCTAAATAAACTGCCTAGCATATATTTTTATATACGTGTACATACATATGCATCAGTTATTTTAAACTAAAACTAACTCTATAAGAAAATGTTCTTCACACTAATAATTTAAAAAAAATTTATAAAGTCAACATAGAAAAGTATAATTAACACAAACTTTTGTACCCAAATTTCTTAATTGTTGAAGTATCATAGTTTAAATTTCTTTGAATAAACAATTGCTAAGTTTAAATTTAATTCTGTTTAGCTATTATTATTAATATATTATTCAAACCAATAAAGCTTTATAACTTTTGCAAAAGCACTAGAGATTCTTGTTACATAATTTTTACAGAACATATTTATACACTAGGACATGTTTGACTATTATGGCCAGTTTGATGGCATATTCCACATTGTTTTTGTCCTCTTTCAACACTTTCAAAAGTGGATAGGTCTCTTCGTACTGACCTTGGACTTTGTTTTTTGCTCCAATTGGTCTTTCTTGTGGCTTGTTAGTAACTGGATTTTCCATTGAGTATTCACCAAACCTTCCAATTAAGTATAGATAATAGATTGTTGGTATGGTGGCCAGAATTGATATGCTTGTGCAAGAGATTGAAGAAGTGGTTGAAGGTTAGTGTAAACATTATTTACAGGGAGTGTTGGTTCCAAAAATTCTATATAGTAACCTTGGATCCACCAGTGTTCATAAATATCACATTGTTGTAATACTTGATCATTTGCTAAATGTTCACTAATTATATGTGAGCATAGTAACCCCATTGTAGATTTAAAAGTTTCTGTGCATGGGTTCAGAGATAAGTCTGGTGTTGCACTTGATGCTTTAATCCACTTATTGCAGATTTTATTCAGGGCAAAAATAGAAACATAGTGTAGAAGGGGTTCAAGGAAGTGAATCTGATGTATATGCTATACTTTCATATGTTCATAAGAAATTCATGCACAAATTTCCCTCACTTGAGATTAAATTTGTAAAACAATCTTGTGATGTACTGTCTCGAGATCACCTACTGATGACTGTAAATACCTTTTAAGTGTAGCATGTGCAGCTTCTATATATAAGGTTACCTTATTACCAAGATGCAGGTAATTTTCAGTCCAAGCAGAGACAAAACATTCTTTATATGGCATCCAGGTTTCTTGAAGGTACTTTATAGCTCCAGGTTTGTTTTCATAACATTTTAAAAACTTATCCTATTGAGTTATAAATTCCTGTTCTGTAATTGATACAGTTACTAATTGCCACATTCTTAAAAACTCATTCCAGTCTTCTTCCATAGTAAAATAATGTTTACACTTAGTTAAGACATTCTTATTTATATGCCACATACATATAATATATCAAGTACTAGGAAATACTTTATTAATGGCATTCATCAGTGCTAATTCCCTGTCGGTAACAATAACTTTAGGAGAAGACAATCTACTAAAACTTTTTGATATACAAGTCAAAGCCCACTCATATTCTATTTCAGATTCATTACTCAAAAAGGCAAAACAGAAAAAAAAAGTTATATTAAAACATGACATCTTAACAATATTCAACAGAGGCATTCGATATCTATTGGTCTTATATGTGCAATCCATAAGCAACATAGTAAAGTAAGTATAAGTTATGAAAATAGATATTCTATATGCAAAAAAAAGGCATTGTACACGATTTTGATGGTCATACTGGTATTCAAATTCAAAATCTGATCCTCTCAGTTCATCGAGAAGGACTTGAATCAGTATGCAGCCATTAAGTCTCTCTTAATGAATAGAATGCAGGGCATTGTAAATTGTTTTTGATATAGCCATTAAGGATGAATCATTAAGATGGATTGTTGACAGAATTTGTCATGGGTGAGAGCCAGCAGCAGCCATTCAGTTAACTTGTTTGCATTGGTCAGTATTTAATCTTCGAATGATTGGGTAACCAGACATATCCACAGAGGCCTCATGATTGTGTTCAGGATTTCGAACCTCAAAATACCAAGTATTATCATGTCTGGTTCCAAAAAGTTCAAATGGACAATTCAAAAGTTTTAAAGAGGTTTGTTTGCAGCATGAATTTTCTGTCAAATTTAATCTGTTCCTGTAATAATCACTTTTATCACAAACTAACATCTTGTTTTTGATTTCACCCTTTACATTCGACTGTGACCTTTTTGTTGTTATAGCATATTCTAGAGTTTTAGGAAAGTTTTGAACATGTAAAAGAAGCTCTTCTCTGCTTTCAAATTGGCCAGCTGGAGGTGAAAGCATACTAGGATATATATATGTTTTCTAACAAACAAATTAATAAATATAATTATTAAGTCATCAAGTTTTTTTTTTTGGTTTCATTTCACTAACCAGTTTTTTCATATTTGTTTTAAAAACACAATTTGCAAGATATTTAAAAATGAATATTTTTAAGTTTATCTTAATTTTAAAGATGAAAGAGAAAAGACAGCTTAGATTACCTATCTATCCTTTATTTATATACATATATCATGCATATTCAATCACCAAATAAATAGTCAGATATCCAACTATGCATCACATTACCAATTTACATGCAATGTACACATGGTTGTAAAGTTATTGTATTTTGTGCAAGCTTTAGTAATTCTTATAAATTTATGTTGATGGATTATATAGTTAAAGTATGATATTCTAAGGATCATTTCATTTATTTCACATAATATAGAGAAGTTCAATTTATTTTTGTATTGTTTTTTCAACTCTTTATTACAACCTAATACTAACAAAACTTCATTTAACATATTAATTATACTTTAATGATGTATAATTTTTTTATAATTTATTTTGAGGAACAGAATGATTTCTAACAATTTTTCTCTTTGTGCAGCTATATATTAATTTAAACTATCTTTTACTACTAGTATGACTACATATTTATATAATGTTTGATTTAGTTATTTTTTACTGTTCAAATTAGCTATAGTTTATTCAAAGTATGCATTTTTGTTTATATATATACTAAGAAATAATGATAGAGCCCTGCATCGTATAATTAAGGTTATATTGATTTACTAATTATGGCTGATTAACCTTAATTGGTATTACAAGAAAAACAATCAACATAACAAAATAATCTTAGTATAGATTATTTTGGATTTATATAGTATTATCTAATTATATTAAGATGCATAAAACTTAATTTACTTAAAACTGAAAATTGAGCGCTGTAACCTTCAATGTATGTATGTACATTTCTAATATGACTTTAATAGAAATGGACCTGACAAAATTATATTAATCATAATTGTAAGAGCATTCAAGAATTGCTGTGATATAATATATAAAAATATTTTCTAATCACTGTGCAATATAGTTTTAGTAGTATGTATGTTATGAGGTTGAAAGTGTGATTTCACATAAAGTTGAAAATGGCAATGAAAAATTTTTAATTCAATGGAAACGATATTCTAAACCAACCTAGGAACCATGTAAAAACTTGGATGATTTGCTTTTCTTCTCAATTCATTTTACAAAGTAGCCAAGAATACCGAACCTGAAACAAACACACCTACAACATACATGTGTACGTATGTGTATATAAATATGTATGCTGGGTGGTTTATTTAAAAGTTGCACAAACATATTTAGTTTTTACAACCTATATGATGTAATGTCGAAGCCAAATAAAATTGGTTATGTGATATAAACAATGTCATAGTAGTCAGTATTGGCCAGAGGTCAGGTCTGATCATGTGAAGGTGGCATTAGCAAAAGTAGAGGGTAGCATTAGCAGGTCTCTTTATTTATTAAATGATCTATTTGTTAAACTATATTTATTTAATATTATGTATATTAAATTATTTTATTTTATTTAGTTTACATTAGAAAAGGGTGTGGGTCCCATAGCTTAGTGGTTAAGCTCCCATACCCTCCACAGTCAAGGTCAACAGTTCAAGTTCGGCTGGAGGCAAAATTAAAAGATTTTAGCTTCTGTAACCTAATAAGGAGCCTGTAATTGAATACGAAGCCCTGTAGTTAAGTCCAAGTGCAGTA